ACCTGAGCCAGGCTGGGCAGCTTTGCTTAGGCTTTTGGCACAGCTGATGTTCACAATACTCCCTAGTCCTTTTCTGAAGGACACCCTGAATTTCATCATCTCGCTAATCAGGACAACTGACCTGGTTTATCTATGGGCATGAAGGCAGCCAGCATCCTGTCCGAGGTGTGGAAAAGTGACTTCACAGAAGTTAAAACCAGTGGTAGCCCTCAGGGTGGAAAGCTGTTCTATTCTGAAGCTTCTGAAAAGGCTGCTTGTTTATAAAGAGGCACAAGGAAGTCAGCTTTGGGCCTCGGCCTGAGTGGCCCTTTATCAATTAATCAACTGACTTAGTTTTCTTAGTAGGAAACAAACGAAATATTAAGATCAAGTGCCAAATTTCGGGTCAACTAAAAGTGTGTTTTTAAAAACCAGTAACTCCAAAGTAAATACAGTATTAAGTACAGGCTTTCTCATCTAAAGTATTTTTCCTGTCTGGAAGATCTGAAGGCAGGCTGATGGTAGTCACAGGTACAAAGCTGACTTGATCCAGGAGAAGGATGCCTCTGAAAGGTAAGATTACCTGGCATTAGAGAACAATATACAAAACAATTCTGTGTTCTAAAAATTAGATTTACTCTTTAACTCCCCAAACTTAGGTTTAAATCAATACATCAAGTATTACCATCATAATACCTCTTTTATGAAGCTAGAATGAAAACTGGTTTCAAAATGTACTAGCTGTGGTTTCTGAGGGCTCCCTTCACCCAGTTTCTACATCTGAAATGTCAGCAGTGTAGACTCTATATGCTTAGCTTCATAAGTAGCCTAAAACTCCGCTGTCAGGAGCTACATTTAATTCTCCAAGACTAGGTGGAGACTCCAGTTTTATCAGTGTACCATAGAATGGCATTAAAGACTTAATATAAGGTCCTGACATCTGCACCTGTGTCAGTCACCACGTGGGATCTTCTGCTCATTCTTACTGGTTTGCAATCTTGAATTAAACCTTTACAGTTTTTCATGGGAACAGTTTACATAGGTAGCAAGAAAACAACTGTGTGGTTTTGAGGTTGTGGGGGTTTGTGGGGGTTTTTTTTGTTTGTTCTCCAGTTGGAAGAGGAATTACTCCAGGCTGGTCCCTCTGCCATGGACAGGCCATGAGACACTTTGCTGAACAGTTTGCTGGGATTATATTTTTCTTCCTAGTTCTACGTAGTTCAGTTTCACACATGGAAGTGCTAAGCTGCTTACTGCTCTGGGAAGTACAAAGTGTTTCTTCAGTTTTTCTGCTCTAACAACTGAAGCATTCCCATCTGACAGCACACTGTGTGAAATGTCAGGGAAAAGCATGGTCTCTTTCCTCTGCAGTTCCCAACCTTCCTGATCTTCCACCCCCCTATTTTTTTAGCTTTGTCAGAAGGATTAATGCCACTCATATTCCTGAGTGGATACATAAATTAGCTGCACACAGGGCCCTTCAGAAGCACAGCTGATCAGCTGCATCAGAAGACATCAGCTGTGCTTGTTGTAGCTAATGAAGCACACTATGCTGTCAGTCACTTCTCAAAGAACACGTGGCTCCAAGGGATAGGTCTTCCAGAAGGGACTTAGGTAGCTTTAAAATGCACATGCTTGCCCATTCCAGCACTAAACAGACACTGATTTCTTACCTGCAGTTACTAATTCATCTTTCCACCCCTTTCTTCTGAGCACTTGCTTTTCTGAAAAATCTTAGTGTTGCTGGCAAGACACCACTTGAGTGAATAAAGCCATCTGTAGGCCACCAGCTTTATTTATGACCTTTTGCCACCAATGCCAGCACCAATCGCTGTGGCTTGGAAGCTGCCTGCAGAGGTAGGTCCTCCTTGGAGAATTCCCATGCAAATTTCCAAAGCCAAACTCAAGGCCTTTCAGAACTATTGTAACAAATCCAACATAGTAGGAGTATGAAAAGCTATAGAGATGTTGGAATTGTTTAGCTCTAGCTTCTATCCTCCTCTCTTGGAGCTATGTTAAAAGCGTCTCACAATGTAGTCCTCAGAAGACTTGATAAAAATTTGGCAGTATGACAGCTCAGCTAAAGACATTTCCAATGAAACACTTTCCCATGTTTCTCTGAAATGCTTATATGTCAAAAATTCACCTGGCATGGAAAGTTACCAGTAGCTTTTTCACTGAATTGTTGCTACCATCTTCCTACAGAATGGGGCTGCTTCTTGACAACTTTTTTTTAGTTAATGTTTTGCCTTCATCACAGCCAAAATAAAAATGCAAAAATCACTTACTTGTTTTCACAGGAAGGGAGAATCACCTTTAAGACTTTGATAATAAGAGCTGCTCCAACAATTCCAACGACAACAACTTCCATGAAACTAAACAAGATGGGTAAAGATCGGAACCAGAATCTGCACAATCCTTTTCTCAAGTCTTCCACCCACTGGCACATCACCTACAGTCAAAGAGGTAAAAAAAGACAGGCTGCAAAACAAAGCATTGCTGGTTTTGTAGCTACTGGTGATACATGTAGTTAGGCATGGTGGTAGTTTTACTTGAATTTATGTATCCGTAAACATACATAAAAGCAGCATGGAATTGACTGGCAACTTGGATCTCCTTCTTCAAAGTTTGAAACAGGTGAAGGTTTAGTTCTCTGCTCATCATAGCAGAGTTCTCTGAGAGGCCACTTTGGAAAATAAAAGACACTTGAAAGGAGAAGGTGAAGGGGCAGCTGTTTGGCCATAGAGAGCTATGATACTATGGCAGTGTACAGCAGGGAAAGGGTTACTGCCAGCCCAGGAGAGGAATAACACCCTCTCTAGCCTATCTGTAACTTTCAGCGGCCCTCCTGTCTCAGCAGCAGGTTATAATTATGTTTGTTCCGGCCACAGAGGAGGCCATCAAGCCCATCCTTACTTATGCTGAAACTTCTAAGGCTGCTACAATGTTTCTTACAGCAGCTGAGACCAATGGCCCATCTTTCAGAGGGGTAAGCACTTGCACTGAGTCAGGAAAAAAATTATGTAATTTAAAGCCAAGCAAAATTTGAAACTGTGGTAAATGCTTAGCTTGGTATAATGTAAATATCACAACTGACTATCATGAAGTATCTGTGAGATCAGAACATTGCAGGATTTAAAAGCCCATTTGATTCCTACTGGAGTAAAAAATTCCAACACCTTATTACTGCTAAAAGGTAATTTAGGGTTTTTTTTGGTTGGTTAGCTATTTTGATAGTTTGGGGG